ATACAGTTAGAAAAATGTGCAAATTATTTTACAGAAAACTTAAAATTCTTTAAATTTCATGCAAAGAAATTTATGTAAAAAAAACTCAAACCAATCCAGTGTACAATAGCCTTTGAAAGACTTGCACTTATTGGGGAGCTCAGTATTGAATCTGTGGTCTTTATTAAATATTTTTCTGTGTGTGATGATTTTCACTTCGCCCCTTAGATATCAATTGTTAGAACAATTGATGATTTAAAAAAAAAAACTAATATTTTCTAATTGACGTTGTTGTTGTTGTTTTTGTTGTAGCGGTTCGCTCGCCATGGTAGTCTTTGAACGTCTACGTGTGCGTTTCTTAAAAAACGCAATCTATTTCTAAAATTCTGCGGCGGCAAAATTTCATGAACATGCCTTTTTACTTACCATCTTCGATTTCGATTTTCAACGCCTTATTCTCCTCCTTCAACGCAATATTATCTTCCAGCAAAGTGAAGAGGTCAGTTTCGGGATCTTGCTCATTGTAATCGGGATCACGCACACGACTGCGACTGCGTGTCTTGCCCTCTTGAGTGCGAAAACGTGCAACAGGTATGCGTCCACGTCGTTCCATCTTCAAGTTAAATGACGAATGCGTGAATTATTGCTGCTGCTTAGATTGTTATGCAAACAAAAAAAAAGAATATATTAAAAGAGCTATTTAAAAAGTTTCCCAGCACCCAGCAGTGATGAGATACAATAGAATAGAACAACATATTAAGACATAAAGCTTTGCGTTAATTCTACTAACTCAGCCACCTTCAGTAAATAGCATTTTGTTTACATAAACCCTATATTTTCCACGTCCAACTGCCTACCCTGCCAAAACAAAAAACAAAAATTTGTCAAAAATAAAACACAATATATTTTCGTTTTGTTTAATCCATTATACTATGGGCACACGAGTACGCGTACATATCCGTAGAAGAAATATGCAGTTGTATGTATGCTTCATTGTTTTTAATGTTTTTTTGTTCCTTTCAGTTTATTTATTTCATTATTATTACTTAAGGTCATAATGCTTGCTTATGAGACATATCGTCTGTCTCGTAACAATCTTCGATTAGCCTTGCTTTTGCTATTTGTTTATTTTTTCTGCTGCTTATATTTATATATTTTCATTAATATTTATTACTCAGTGTCCTATTGGGTTTATAATGAGCATATCGGATTCATGAAATGGATTATATATGGGTTTGTATATAATGCGGTTTTAATTTTTTTTCCTTCTTTGCTTTTTTCCACTGTTTACTACCATTATTGGTTGGCATGTAAATGTTAAGTTGCTATTTAGTGTATTCGCGTAGTACTTCCTTAGCTATTTGGTACTTTGCTTCATATAGTTTATTTCATTTTTTAATAGTTTTCTTCAATTATTTTTTAATGGATTTTTTTAATGCTGCTGAGTAGCTAACATTCATTTCGCTTAGTTTTTATTGAATACTTGGTATTTATATTTGATTACGCTTACATATCATTCTTTTTTTAATATTCCTATACTTCATTTTTTATACTATATTTTTACTTTTGCTTATTCAGTTTGTTTTACAAAAAACAAATAATTTATTTGTATAAAATGTTATAGTTCTAGTGTAGCTGCATTTTTAAGGCTATCGAGAATGTACTTATTTAAAAAAAAAAGGAGCAGATATAAATTCATCCCTGTATGTATTTGTGTGTGAAAAAATTAGAAAAGGGTTAAAAAAAGTAAAATAAAAGAAACTAAAAAAACTAATAAAAAGAAAATAAAAATGAAACTAATAAAAAAATAAAATAAAAATAAAACTAATAAAAAAATAAAATTAATAGAAAAAATTAATAAAAAAATAACAAAAAAATAAATATAAAAATAATAAAATAATTCAAATCAATAAATGAAAAATAAAATTGATAAAAAAAATAAAATTAAAAATAAAACTAATAAAAAAAATAACATTAATAAATGAAAAATAAAAATAAAATTAATACGAAAAATAAAAATAAAATTAATACGAAAAAATAAAAATAAATAATAAAAAAAATTAATAAAAAATAATTAAAAAAATAAAACAAAAAAATATACAAAAATAATAACTAAATTGCAAAAAGGCATAAAGAATTACAAATTGAGAAAAGTAATATTATAAAAGCCGTTAAGCATCAGTAGGGTTTATGTAATATTTATGCATGTGTATATATGTAAGTGCCGCCCAATATATAAAATGACAGAAAAAAATTATAAAAAATGAAACTTTAGTTTAAAAAAAATTAAAGTAAAAGTTAATGGTTAAAAATAGAGAGTTAAAGTTAGTCACTGTATTTCAAAAACAAGGTTATTTATTAATTTTTTTATTTTCTTATCAAGAATATTTAGAACAAGATGAATAAAGAAACTTGATTTTATTTCAAAAAAAAAAAAAATTAGATTTCAAAATATGTGATTGAATTTGAGAAAGTACGAAATAAAGTAAAAATAAATGCCTCATGCCGATTGATTTAGATACTTTTGTGGTTTTGAAAGGTAAGGATTATAAATAATTGTGATAAATTAGCTATTTTAAAAAAATATATGTTTTTAATTAATTTTTTTTTATTATTATTTATTATTGACTCCATTTTTTTATTATTACCTTCTATGAAAATAAATTTAATTAACTTTTTCAACAAATAGTCTACATTTAATTTTCTTTTTTTCTTCAACATTTAACTCAAAGTACAGATATTATTTTCGTTAGCCCCCAAAATGCATCTGCACTAGTTTCTGAATTTAAATTTAAATTTTATACACACTTACTGTCAGTATAAAGTGTGCCAATTAATATTATATTATTTATATTATTTATATAATTGCTTTTAATTTTTTTAATTTTGTTTGTAATTATTAAATGGTATCTAAAATTGAGGGCTACTTAAAAAATGCATATGAAAAAATTGAGAAATCTAGATTTTTTACTTCAATCCATTTTTATAGACATATTTAATTTGTCTTTCTTTAGGTATATGAATACGTTTTATGTTATTTGTTTAATAGCTATAAAAATCTTTATACAAAAAATAGAAATAAAAAAATAAAATAAAAATAAAACAACTGCGTAAGTATTAGAATAATACATATTTTATAAATACATATATGTATGTATGCTTTTGTTTTACATATATGCTTACGTTTTATATAGAGTAAATAAATAAAAGCTGCGGCTTAAAGCGCAAAAGGATACTTTTTGAATTTTACTTTTCTATACTTTTCATTCTCTTTGTTTTCTTTTAAAAACATATTCCTCTCACCAAGTTGAAATTTTCTATATAACTGTATTTAAAATTAGATAAATTTTGCTTTATTTTTGTTAGATTTTTTTTTTTTTTAATTTTTATTTGAAACATTTTTATCATCGAACGTTTTACAACATTTTTTGGATTATTTAGTTTGAAAACAAAGGTTACAACAATGCTTTGAAATTTCCATTTGCCGAGTTATTGATTATCTTTCGGTGCATTTTGTATGTGTGCAATATAGATTTCGTATGATTTTGTCAATGTATGTCTGGTGTACTGATCTTCATTCAACGATTACATGAAACATTCCCAATTATGTTTGTGTATTTTGTGTGCGAATGTAATTATTTACATTTATTTATGTAAGCATATTATATATATTCTATATAGACGTGTGTTTTTCAATTAATTTAGGTTTTCGAATAAATAAAAAATAACAATACACTTCCGATCACAGAATTCAGACAAACAATTTAAATGTGTTTACTTGTGTGCGAGCGATTACTAATAATATTAGCTCGATAAGTTATAAACATAAGATTTTCTTTTAACAAAAATAAAAATAAGAAATAAAATAAAATAAAAATTAAATAAACAAAAAATACTTAATTTTACAATGAATTTTCTTTGCACCTCTCAAATGCACATGTATATGGAATCAATAGTTATGAGATGAATATCTTGAAATTTTACTAACAATATTTCTTAACGGTAAAAAGTACCAAAAAGGACTAAAATGCATTTAATGAAGTTCACTAATAGCTCTCATTTTATATTCTTGGTTCGAGTGTGGCAATGGAATGGCTAAAAATTTATTTAAACATCGACCAGAGATGCAGGTGATAACAGGGCGGGGCGATACAATGGGTACTGATGAGTATGAGAAATAAATTATATGCATGTGTGTATGATGAAGTGATTGACATACGCTTAAGAAACTACATATATATACGGATAGATAGTAAATGCTGCGCAACAATGGTATACAGAAATTAAATGAAAATGCTTCCTTTGCCTACCGAATGTGTTTAGAGTAGACGATGCGCACCGTTGGTGGTAAGCATAATTTTGCATTTATTTAAATTGTTTTACATACATATAAGGAGATTCTAGCGTGGTGATTTAACATCAAACCTATGCATATATTCAATGTATTTTATTTATCGTTTAAATAAAATTGTACTACAAAAATATTTTATGTAGGTATAAGCGTAAGCGTAAGCGTCAGCGTCAGCTTAATTTTTCACTTGCAACGAAAAAGATTTTCTTTGTTTCTGAAAATTGTGAATAAATACTTCTAGGAAATTCAAATGCGGAATAGATGAGTTAAACTAGATAATAGGAAAGTTAAAAACCAGCATATTAAATGTCAATTTTGTCAATTTGTAAAACAAAAGAGAACAAATTTATGAGACGATTTTTAAAATACGTCTTTTTTTGAGACCAAATTATTGTGGGAGTGTTTTTTTAACCGAAAACTTTTTTGAAAAGTTGTTCGCTAAATAACTTACATACTAATATGTACACACGCATACACACATACACACTCTAATGTAGTATAGTCTGATTTGAATATTTTTTAGTTTTGTGTTTTTGTTTTCGTTTTCATCTTTTTTTTTACTTGTTTTTGTTGTATTAGTTTTTGCCTATATTTTGTTTGTATTATTGAGTTTTGTAGTGTCTTTCGTATAACCAGCTAAAATTATGCAATTTTCATATATACAGTGCGATTTGTTTTTTTTTTTTTTGGGGGGTTTTGTTTGGGCCTCTGGCGAAGAGATGCTACGATGACGGCGACAATTCATGAACTCAATCGCTAATCCAAAGCCCTTCATTTTCTACTTTATATTACTTATTTCTTTAGCTTATGTGCTTCTTCTTGATCATTACATCTCTAAAACAGCAGCGTCGGATGGCTGCGCTGTTTCTTGTTCACGCCCACATTACCATTGCCGCCCACACCACCGCCGTTACTGTATTGTTGTTTTTGCTTATACTTATCAAAGCGTCCTTGGCGCCTACGGCGCTAAAGTAGTTTTTCCATATAAACCTGCAGCTCTTCATTCAAACGCGCTCCGCCTACGCTATCCGTAGCTCCGCCAGGTTTGCCAGTCAACGTCGCTGAGTATAAATCACCGCTATTCGGCGCATTTGTCTCTTTGCTGTCACTTAGCATCTCTGCTCGATACCACTTATCGAAGGAGTCTTTCGGTATTACTTCACTGTCGTAGATTAAATCGAATACACTACAGATCAGCTGATTGGCGGTTGGTGTGTCGTAATTTTGTTGCATGGCATCGACAATGGCGTCGAGACAAGCCACCTCATGCGCTTCGATACCATCAAGACAACGTCTTAATAATGGTATACATTTGCGTCGAAATAGTTCTGGGTCTAAATGTCGTAATCTGCTCGTGCTACTACTACTCCTATCAGTCGTCGTCATCACATTTTCGTAATCACAGCAGAGAAATGTAGTAAGGCTGCGTATGAAGTGTGTATTTATGAACACATTTGTATTTATATAGTCAATGACCTGGTCGCAGCCATTCGCCTCATTCAATAAATACTCGATGCGTTTCACTTGTTCTAAGATAGCGGCGGGATGATTCGCAGTCTGCTGCGGTGGCTTATACGCACGATCGTGTATGTACTGAAATCCATTTGAGTTTATAAATTCACGCCACGCCTCATCACTCATAAATTGTTGGCCATGCTCCAGCTTGAAGTCTTTATTCCACAGCTCACGCGTGTAGTTGGCACCGAACTCAGTCGTAAAATAGGTGATGAGAGCGTGAAGGAAACGTTTGGTGAAATTTATATTGCCCGACCACTGCGGCAACCAAACGTCTTTCAATTGTAACAGTTGTTCGTGCAGGAGAGGACCAACAAAATCGAATATATATGTCCAGAGGTTGGGAACGTCCATCTGTAGGTCGAGCAGCTCGTCTACCAGGTCCTTGTAGACCTCATTGAATATTTGAGGTTCGCACACTTTGACCCGCATCAAATGCGCAAAAACAGCGGCAAAAGCTTTGCGTTGCGTGCGTTTCACTGCTGTCGAGTGCAGATAGTCGATGATTACGTAAGTGAGCAAAGACTTTTGCTGACGCGCATTCAGGTTGCACCACTCATTGACTGCCTCTTGTTGCCAGCTGCTGTTAGCGCCGTTACTGCGACTACAGCCAGCGTCTAGGAGTTCTTCAATCAGCTGATTTAACCACTTTTGACATTCACTCTTATTCAAGTCGGGTTGGTCACTACATTCCTTCTGTTCCTGTGGCGACGATGAACCACTCGCATTTGGGTCGTACATTTTGTCTTGTCTGTCGAGCTCCTGAAACCGATTGTTAAACATCGGCGAGGAGCTGGCTGCGGTTGTGGGGCCCAGCACAGAGGATTGACGCTTAAAGCCGCTGCTATTCGATGCATTCACATTGCTGCTTACCGTATTCAGGCTGATTAGCGACGCAGGAGTATTACTGCTAACGGTTGCGTTCGTTGGGTAACGACCGGACGAACGCCATTGGTAATATGATGAGGTCTGAGGGCCTAACTTTTGTGTGACCTCATCGCTGGTAAATTTCAACTTGTTCAAATCGATATTTAGCTTCTGCTGATCGTGTTGTTGCATGAATTGCTGTGATTTTTGAGATTTCTGAAAATAGTGCCGCTGATTGCCCTGATTGCCGCCGCCACCGACGTTACCTCCCCCACCATAGTTACCCAGTCGATTGCTCTTATCATACATGCTACCACTGAGGCTGCTCTGCATTTTGTCATCCTGCTTTGAAGGCATGCCTCCGCTGCCACCGCGCCGTTGAGACGATTGCTGTTGCTGTTGTTGCAGCTGCTGAGTTTGCTGTTGCTGTTGTGATTGCGTGTGTGGATGATCCCAGGTACGTGTACGTAGGTCCATAACATCCTGCATCATGAAACGTACGCGACTACTGATCTTGAAGTGGCTGGACGAGGCACCGCCGGATTTGTTGCCACGCGATTTATGTATGATTTCCTGTATGCGACGAAAGATCTTATCCATGCGTGCATTATTCGCGTTATCAGGTGACTCCAACAGGTGCCCAACAGTGGTGAGTAGCTTACACATATACTCCAACTTCTCTTCGGATCCATGCTCCAGCAGAGATTCAATACATAGGAATACACGGTCATTGGTCAGTGACTGCAGCTTAAACATTTCGCCGATAAAGCGCACGGTGCCCCAAGCTCGTCGGCGGAATTGATACTCCTGGTCCTCCAATTCGGCCTGTAGCTCGAGACGCTCTTTCGAATCGTCGCAACTCTCTAATTTATCGACCAACGGTTGCAGTTTCACTTTCTTTGCATTTGCGTTGTTCACATTTGACTCGAATTCATGCTGGATCCGGTTAATAAGTGAGCTCGTGAAGAGAGACTTGCTCTCAGCCTTGATTTCTTGGAAAAGTACTTTGCAAAATTTAGCATAAGTGGGTGCGAAATTAGGTTCGCTGACGGTTTTTTCGAAAATCAACAGCATCACCTATGAGCAAAAAAGGAATGGCGCAAGTGAGACATACAATTTCTCAAAGAATCATTTCAATAACATTAATTTAGATTTATGTTTGATAATAATATTATTTGCTTACCTGTTGCATTTTCTCTTGTGTATTCATCGTGATGCTGGTCATCGATTTGAGTAGCACGTCAAAATTGTCGGGCGTCAGCTTATTCAGTACGCCACGCACCTTTTTCAGCACCGCATCGATGTCATCATTGGCGCCAGATGGCGAAACGTTATTCGATTTGCTGCGCAGAGTTTCAGGCTGCCAGGCGTTCTCACATTCGGACAACTTGATTTCCTCCTTCAACGACAACTGTACACGTATAAAGTCCACTTTACGCTGTTGTTGTGCGCTCATTACGCCGCTGACATTACCAAGGCCACCGCCGATACCCACAACGCCACCGCCAACGGCGGCTACGCTTAGTACACCGCTTAAAGCCGCACCGCCAGATTGATGATCGTGATGTTTCTTCGTCTGACCGCTGCGTCCACGCTTGCCGCTGACCAATTCCATGGATTCATTGAAATTCATATGTTGATATTGCTGCTGTTGCAGATGTTGATGTAGCGCCAGTGAAGACATATTGTGGGCGTGGTGTGTCAGGTGATGATGTTGCTGACGCGAAACGAATAGTTGTGAAATGCAATCGCCGCGTTGACATGGCACCATTGGCGGCTTGCGCGCCTCGCTGCACTTGGAGAGGGCCTTCAATTCTTCCAGTGAGTATCGGCGTGGTTTTGGCGGCACAGCGACGTTCGCAGGCGCATTTATGCTGACATTGTTTGCGTTATTTTTACTTGCACTCGTAATTTTTTGGCCGGCACGCGCTCCGTGTACGCTGCTGCTCTTCGAGAGAGTTATCGTGCTGGCATTCAGAGTACAGTCCACAGTGTCTTTCGAAGCACCTGCTTTATTTTGCACTTTATCTGGAGAGCTGGTTTTGGTGTTTCCCGGCTCTTGTATTTGTTGCTGTTGCGGCGCAACTGTAGGCGGCGACGGTGTGCCATGATCATCTTTATCCTCAGGGAAATCACCAAATTGTATGTCTTGTATGTTGTTGGCATCTTGTTGTTGTTGCTGCTGCAACTGTATTCCTATGTGTGTGCTCATTTCTTCGTCATCTTCACAGGCGGACGAAGAACTGTTGAGGAATTGCAATTGTTGTCCGGGTGTTTCCAGCAGTGCTACAGCTTCCTGTTTAGTTGGCTGTTGTTGTTGTAGTGATTGAGTTGAAAGCGCAGGCGAGGCGCGCCCTACCGCTTGATGTATGTCCGTTAGGGAGTCACCTTGTATAAAACGATAAGAAATGATCAATAATTGTTCATTTTGGAGAGAAAAATAGTAAAGTCCGTTTTCGTTCAAACTTTTCTTGGATTTACGGTGTAAGGTTTCGGTCTAATAAAACTATTTTTTCTACGTATGTAATACACTCTACATACATTACATTAAAGAGGATTTCTGAGGAAGAAAATTTCTAAATTGATTTCTGACCTTTCCAAACAAATATCATACGAAGAATTTTAGTTTTCAGTCTTACAAAATGAAAAATATTTTCAATTTATGAAGTTTCCTAAATATCTCTTTATCCCATAAAGAATTTATCAGCAAACTTTTCCTATTTTTTTTTTTTAATTTTTGTGAAATTATTCCTCAACGCAATTGAAGTGCCGGTCTTGGTAGTCTTGGTAATGTATTTTGTTGAGTTTTTCTGTTTTTAGCTATGGTCTTTGTCTCATCCAGTAATTAATCTAGTTACTTCTTTATTTATTCTCTTTTTGTCACCTACTTTTTGTGTTCGTTTTCGTTGGCATGCCACGAGTCAAGCTCTCACTTTTTGTTATACTGCCGCTACGTTGTTGTCGTAAATTCGCTGCTATTGTTGTTGTAGTTTCTCTTAAATTACCGCTATCGCTAGAACTATTTGCATTATTGATATCAGTCAGGAGTTGGGTTGTTGTTTTCATATTTGTTGTTGTCGCTATAGCCGTTATAGTTGTAGTAGTTGACATATTTTTAGTTGCTAAATTATTATTAATATTATTATTGGCATTGTTTAATATACTTTTGCTATTATTGTTGCCGCCGCTGCTGCCCCCACCGACACCGCCACTATTGTTATTATTATTGTTCCCACCGCTTAGTGCAACAACATTACTCCGTTGGCTGCTAACTTCACTTTGCTTATTGAGCTTCTTTTGGCTTTCCTTGGCGCGTTTGGACGCCTTGCGACTCTTCTTCTGCAAGACGGTCTTAACGGTAGCTCCGCTGCTCTGCGACAGTGACGGACTACCACGGCCACAACCACCACCGCTGCTACTACCAACCGAGACTGTGACGCCACCAGCTTTCCTTTGCTGCTGGGTTTGATGGTGTTGTAGTGGTGCTTGTTGTTGTTGTTGTTGTTGTTGCTGCTGATACTGTTGCCGCTGTGTATGATGTGCTGATGCATATGCAAGGTGTGTGGGTGTTGATGTGGCCGACGATGAGGCCCCCGATGTGTTCGGTGTATGTTTCTGTGTAGTTGACACCGCGTTTCCGCTAGAAGGCGCTGCGCTCGCGTTCATCGTGGATACGCCAGACGTGGCTGAAGCATTTGACTTGCTGACCTTCAATTGTTTCTTTGACGCGTCTGTGTAGGGCGTGGCAGGTGTGCCAATATTTAGCTCCGCGCCAGCGCTGGCGTTGGCAGGAAAGGCATCCGTGTCTGCAACTGATAGAGTAGTTAGTAATTTATGAACTATAAAGTGGTTAGCTAACAAGATGTGTATTCACGTATATAAGAAAGCTGAATAAATTACTTTGCATGTGCGCGAACTTGGAGCGTTGCGGGGCTGGCGCTGGAAACACAGTCACAGTCATTGCGCACTGCTGCTCTGACTGATAGCTCAGACTTGATTTGTTGTCATCCTCGCCTCCACTTAGTGTAGTTTCTGAGGTCACCGCCGACAAGTCATACTCTTCATGTCGTTCCAAAGTACATTTGACGTTGCCGTCGCTGCCTAAATATTGTTGTTGTTGTTGTTGCTGCTGCTGCTGCTGCAAAACATCGTAGACATCTAAGAGTTCCGAATGTTCCTGTTCATTTTCTGCAGTATCCAGCACCAATGATGTGGACTCTGAAAAAAATAAATATTTTGTGCTTTAGCATTGAACTCAAAATTTAGGTAAATTCAAATGAATATGAATGCTCTTCTTACCTTCTTCGTAATTGCTCTCCTCGCCTTCATCGCCGGTCATACAGTGTATGCTAGCCACGCTTTGTAAACCTTCCACTTGTTCCTCGCCCACACTAAGCTGTTGCTCATCCTCAGTCAAATACGCCACCGCTTCATTGCATTCGGTATTCAAGTCGCTGTCGCAAGCAGTCTTCGCGTCCCCATAATTATCGCATTCATTTTCATCATTAACGAAACCTTGTGAAATGTGCGGCGAAGCTTCGGCCAAAAGAATACCGTCAGTGGTCACACAGCGACTAGTGCTACGGTCGCTAATCGCGTCAGTCTGCATTTGCTGATCAATTTTCTCCTTCGACACCGAAGTGTGAACCACACCACTGGCTGTGGTAATGGTGACACTCTCGTTTTGTTGCTCCTTTGTAGCCGAAAGAACGATCGGCGTCGACGGCTGCGGTGACTTCGAAATGGAGACTGTGATCGATTTATCCGTGGGTTCGTTTCCGCCCGCGGTATCTTGTGCGCCAGCACCGATGTCACTGGCCGAAGGTTTGGCCTCAACTGCGGTGCTCTTCTTCTGTGGCTTCGGATCCAAGATATTCTCATGCGTAATCGGATCTATAATGGGTATAGCATATCTTCGTGGCTTGACTGTTTCCGGCCCCCCAGTGCCGCTAGAGGTGCTGATACTTACGCCACCAGTGCTAGCGCCTACAGTTGCAACCAGTGAGGTCGTCGAAGAAGAGTTTGATGTGGCTGTACCGGTTAAATGACCGTATGTTTGCATTGCTTGCGGTGTAATAGCGGTTGGTGTTGCCAACAAGGGTTGCGGCGGCGTTAGCCCAGCTCCGCCCAAGGATAACGGTGGTTGGCAGAATGGCGACGTAATATAAGTCGTTGGACCGCCCGGAGTAGCTCGTGCACCCGACTGCAGCAGAGGTGTCACCTGCATGCCGCCGCTCGCGCTGCCTGCTTGTTGATGACCACCAGCTGCGAGCAATGATGTACGCGGTGCAGCCGTTAGTGGGCCGGGAGGCAATGCGAAGATCGCATTTGCCGGTACCAGGTAAGTGGTCTGGGGTTGGCGCTGATGCGGCGGAGCTGTGAGCACACCACGCAATTGATGTTGTTGCGGATGGTGATGGGGATGCAAGTGTGGTGGCGGCGTTGGGGCAGCACCAGCACCTGCATGGTAGTAGTGTGTATGATGTAGTGCTTGATGATGTTGCTGTTGTTGTTGTTGGTACAGCGTTGTTGCTGTTGGTGTGTTGCCCGGACCGCTGTGGTTGTTCGCGGCTGCAGCTGCGGCTGCTGCAGCGTTATTGTTATACTGGGCCGCTGCTGCCGCTGCGGCAATTACAGCCGCCGACTGCTGCTGATGATACTGCTGCAGGTAGGTGGTGGTCATGAACGCCGTATTCGTCGCCGATGGTGGCTGCATAAGCGCCGCCCCAGTCGTATAGTGTTGCATATTGGCCCCAGTATTGGCTGCAACTGCCGCTGCCGCCGCCGCCACAGCTGCAGCATGTTGTTGTCGGGCGATATTTGTGGCGCTGCTACTATTGCCGCTGCCGGGCATACCACTTCCACTACCGCTCCCCACCAGACTATGTGATTGAGCTGCGGACACAGACGTCGCACCGCCAACTGCATTGCCTTGTGTGGGGGGAGACGGTGCCATTTGGGTGCCGTGTGCCGAGACTGCTGCATTGTTTCCGGTTTGTGGATGTTGGGCAGAGGGCGGCGCCGGCTGAGCTTGACTTAATTGATACGAGTAGTAGGCAAGCGGCGGATGATGATGTTGGGTCTGTGGTTGTTGCTGTTGCTGCTGTTGTGATTGTGGTTGTTGGTGTTGTTGATGAGGATGCGGCTGGTGCTGATGGTGAGGGTGGTGGGAATGCGTGGTTTGTTGGGACACTGGATGGCCGTGATGCACGGAAGGCGGCTGTGACTGTATTTGTTGTTGTTGTTGTTGCTGCTGCTGCTGCTGTTGCTGTGGTTGTGGGAGATGTGGATGGAGAGCCTGATGGTGCGACTGATGATGCGACTGTTGGTGGTGATGGTGGTGCTGTTGCTGTTGCTGCTGCTGCTGATGCTGTTGATTTGGGCGTATTCCCTTCCCACCCCCTCCCGTTTGAAGGAACATAGGAGGATCTTTGAAAGACCTACATAAATCCAACAACACCATACACGATTTCGAATGTGTATGCGTGTGTGTGTGTGTGTGCGTGTTTAACGCAGTGAGAATCGCGACGAGCGGTGATGCAAATTGATACGTCGAAGCAGGGCGAACATAATGAGAGATTGATAATGATGATTTTTATGATTTTTTTGAATTGATGAAATCGATTTAAAATTTTTTAAATTTTTTGTTTTTAGTTTGGACATTTCACATTTTCATTGGATAAGTTTTTACAGAAATTGTTTTTTTTTTTTTTGCGTTTAAATGCATATTTTTTTTTTTCGTTACAGTTAAATTTTTGACATTTTTTGGTATTGTTTTTGTTTTCATTCAAATTTTTTTTTTAGTTGAAATCGCAAGCAGTAATAAAAGAGAACAAATAATCGATGGTTAGTGACGATATCTTAGGAATTTGAGATTTTGTTGTTCTTGATATTAAGTGTAACTATTTTTAATTCTGTTGTTGTTGCTATTACTGTACTCAAGATTGAAATTACATACATTTAGATTGCGTCAACACTAACTACAGGAGAAGATGCAGAGAAGGTAGGCGAAATATTATACTAAACAATCAATTTTTTGGCGACTAATTTCATGCGGGGAAATTTTTTTTTTTAATTTTCATCAATACATACATACACACACATACAAATAATGATCAAATCACAATACTTATGATATAATAATTTAGCTAATATTTAATAAATGTGCATACAAATGTAAATATACATACATACATATATATTTTTTAACACAGTTGTGCTCATTTACTTAATTTCTTTTCTTTTTTTTTTTTGCTAGGAACGCATTTCAAAGAAAAGTAATAGCGAAATGTTTTCCAATTGTTGAATGAAGCACAGTATAAACAGATATATGTATATTTTTGTCACAAACTAGGCAAATCGAGGCAATCGAATACAAACATACATACGTATCTACATACATACTAACTCCACATGCTTTTAAATAATTTAAAAAAAAAGTAATAATAGACAAATACATAAGAAATTCAACTTGCACACATACATACATACATATGTATATACATTAACACTTAATAAATGTCAATCATAAAAGGATAAAATAATTTAATATTTGGTCGATTGGTCTGTGAAATTTCGGGAAGTGGATCGATAGAAATAAAATATTAAACACGGTTATGTAGAGAAAATAATTAGGGAAAATTATATATAAAGAAAAATAAATATTTTCTTTTCTTTTTATTTTATTATACCGGGTTATGTTAAACAAACTTTCCCCAAGACCTTCAAGTTTAACTAACCAATTTCGAAACACAAACTATATTTACTGTAGTGCCTTTTTGGTTCACGCTAAAGTCGTTATTATCACTTTTGTTGCTTTGTAACCGCTGAAGCGATTTTCGGCGGAGCTCTTCCTCCAAATGGTGGGATCTACCGTTCGCACTAAGCCACCTCGAAATACAATTTCTTTTTGGATCACGTTAATGCAGATAAATTAATAAAACTCAACACTCTTCAACTACAACCTCATTCATTTAATCAAAGTTATTGCTTTAAATTGATTATTAATGAATTTCTTCGAAAATGACGTCATAATAGCAGCACTCAACAAGTACTCAATGCTTAGTTATAATTTAGAAACCTAATATGTATGTATATGTACATATGTAGGTATAAACTCTAAAAATAAAAATTGCATGCTTGCTTATCACAGACACTAAAAACAGTTGAATGAAAACAAAGAGAAAAATCGAAATGCGCAAAATGAAATGGAGAAAAGTAAACGATTTGAATGCAAAATTATTTGAAAAACGAACATTTGCGCTATCATTCCTGTATTTATACACGTGCATAGATACATACACGTATGTATTAACAGTGATGGCAGAAATAATAGCAACCAATGAATGTACTTTTTTTTATTTGCGAAGTTTAAAAAAACTTAAAGAAGTATTTCAAACGAAATGTAATAAAAAAAATAATCCGAAAAAAAGGAACAAAAAAAAATAAATAAAAAGAAAGCTAAAGCTAGTAATTTCCACTTTTCAGGAAATTCTATTTAATGTAAATAATTGAAATTAAGTAGAACTCATACCGACTTAGTTGAAATACAGCTTTATAGATTTCCGAAGTTGATACATTTCTTTTTTATAAGATTTCTGATAAAAAAAACTCTTAGATATAACATAGAGTTGAAATTTGAGGGTGAACGAACGTTGCCAACACTTTTAAGAAAAAAATTTTAGTGGAAAAAAATTATTTATGCGATCAGCGCATGATTAGGAGGTTATTTACCATGAATTTCAGTGTTTTTTTTTTTTACAGCGGATTTCATCAGAGTGAATTTAAAATAAATTTTTTCGGAAATCCACATCCTTTGGAACTAACGAAAAGAGAGTAACAAACTGCAGCATCTTAATCCTAGAACAGTTTAATTTAGATTGCAAGCAGGTAAATAAAAACCAGAACTCAATTCTTTTATTTATGTAAAGTAGAAAACTCAATGAGACACAAAAGAAATTTTGACAAACAAAATTGAAAATTAAAAAATTCCAAACAAAAACAGCAACGAACGAGTATCGAGCTGCTCACAATACTTTATCTCTATGACCAGGCATCTAGCGCTCCTTCTTTCCCACCACTGTACCACTGTATACCTCGTTTACATATGTTCATACGCTTTAAGGTATAAATGCACTTTTTTATTTAGGTGCTGTGGCTACTGTACGCTTCGTATGTGGAATGACACACAACAGGTGTTTTTCTTTTTACTTCTTTACGAACACTTGTAAATTAACTAATGAAGAGAGCTAATAGCTTTGCACGTGTATTTCTAACGCCATCAATTACACAGAAAATAAAGATAAGACGCCAAACGAACAAATAATTTAGTTAAGTTTAGTATTTAAACACGTATGTAAATATGTATGTATGCATGTTAGCGTTCGTTTCTTATGCCATTCATGCTACCTTGAATTACGAACCTTTGGATGTTGTGGGTGGCATTTGTTGTTGTTTCCATTTTCGGCAATAACAAAAAGAAACAGTAAAAAAATAAATACTTGCTTTTATTGAAAACGTATATGTATTTGAGTTGAATGGCCACTATCACTACACTGACTAAGTGGACGGCCGGTCTATGCCTGACTACTCATCACAATTATTAGTCATTCAACATTTTCCGTTTTTTCTTTCTTTGTTCACTTATGATTACTCAAGGTTGTTGTATTTATTGTAAATATAAGAAATATGTATGGTAAACATACTTTAGAATTTCCTAAAATGTTGGCCTATTTTAATTAGGGTGTGTGATTACTAAATTTTTATGCGCCTTTGACAAACGAATTTTTCACTTGCCGCAAAACAAACAACTACCTGCCACTGCACCGACCGTTAGCACATAAATGTGGCACAAGGTAACTTGTTTTTGTTACATACAAAAGTATATAGGTTATTCGGAGAAAAATGACGTTTAGTTTTTGTAAGCAATCTACATAAAATCACTTTCTTCCTTGCTGCAGGTACATTAAACTCAACTGTGTTTTGTACGAGTGTATTTATGTACAAATCTACTATAGCGTGACCAAACAAACAACAGAAAGTTGTATTTCATCTTCCCTTTTATTTTTGTTTATTTTTGAACAAATTTAAAAGTCAAAACAAAGTAACGTCGATAAACGGGAAAACAAACCGAATTATTAAGCGAGAAAATGCACAAAATCAATAATAATGCTGCATATACACGCACGCAACACAAAATGCAAAAAAAAGGGGAAAAAAATGGCATGAGCGCGTGTATGTTTAGAAAGGATAAACGGCGTAAGGGACGATTGTATAGTAGTTGGCAGGATAGTTTGAATACATACATATCTACACATATACGCATACGTGTATGTATGTATATAAACAAGTGACGCACAGGAATGTGCGCTTCGTAAATTAAAGCGGCAATAGCATCACATAAATTGCATTGCACAGTGATATCAAGCAAATAAAGAGGAAACGGGGCATTAACATGGAATTTAAGATATACAAACAAGTATGGAGAATACGTATGTATGTATGTTTATATGTACATATGCACAAGTCAGCAAATTTTTGCTTAATAAGGATTTACTTTACGTCTAACTACTTAATTATCTTTCGAGCGTTACTCAATTATATTTACATACATACATAGCAACACTTGAAAAAATTAATAAAAAAAAAAAAATAATAATAATAATAAAAAAAATTACGAGACAATTTTTTATAAATAGACTTCAAATTCGCACTTACCGCTGCCTTTGTTGTTGCTGCGTCTTTTAAGTTTAATGTTTCTAGCGATTTCAAGTAAAATCTCCAATCAACAATTTTCCGGATATATTTGTACCACGAAGCAGCTGAAAACGTTGAAAGGTGGCGATGTTTGGCAAATATTGATTGAACTGCGTGCAATAGAAGCTTGTTTTTCGTTAATTTTATGTTTTCTTGGTTGTTTCTTATTTTAAAAAGATTTTATTTTACAACGTTTATGCAATTATTGTTCGTTTGACTGCTTATTTGTAAATTTGTTTTGCAACTTTTTCACTACTCAAAACTTTCTGCCGTTGTTTTTTTACATTTATTTTAGTGTTAAAAAATTTATTTTGATTTTGTTTTAATTCACTTTTGTTATATATTTTTGTTTTTTTTTTTGCCTTTGTATGTTAGAACAAATTGTCTATTTATTATTATTTTTTTTTTTTTTTTTAAACGAGTTTGGACGACAAATTTACTTGTCGCCTTTGCGACAATTCCGCAAAAGTAACGGACACGATTTATCTGTTCCTTTGGTTTTTTCTATTCTGTTTTGATTTCTTTGAAACTGCAAAATATTAATATAAAAGAAATCGTATTCATAACTCACTTCAACAAATTTTGTACAATATTCCAGGTAAAATATTTCCGTTAGCACTACGCTACAAACGAACTTGAAAGAAATTTAATCGCAACAAAGCAAAAAAAATCGCGAAACAAGAGATATGAAAATATCAGTGGCATAGACCGGCTAAGTTTTGCGGCGGCACAAAGCAGCGACGACGACGACTGCTACTACGGTTGCAGCGCCACACAATTCCAACGTACATGCCGAGAAATATGAACACAAAACAAAGAATACGCTATATTGCACAAAATAAAGATGAAGAAAAAAAAACACCCACGAAACACAGCACAAACGCGGAAAATGTAACTGAGAACAATTAAATGCCAAACTGAACTAAACGAAACGAAGCGGAAAAAGGAAGAAACGGCAAGAAAATGCAAAATTTTTAAGTTGTCTTGTGATTTTTGTTTTAAATGATGTTTTTCCCCAAAAAAAAGGAAAATGAAAAAGATTTTCAAATTTGATAGGAAAAACCAAACAAATATGTTTTATCAGAAAATTTTCAAAAACTCTGCAGCTCAGCTCCGGTTAAGTGCATCGGCTGTAGCCTGTGTACTTGTAAAATTCATTTATGCCCGCGCCCCAACATTTCCTTCTTTAACTCTAGTACACTCTATGCACTCGTTTCCATCAGACACACAGAAAATTGCTTTTTAAGAGCAGAGTTTCATATATTTTCACAAACTATTCCATAAACACTTGAATTTGCATTTTAATATTCTCACTTTTGTATAGATTTTACAAATAAATTGTAAAATTTTTGGTATTTTATGCTTTTTTCACATAACACGAAAATCACATCAACGCGCACGCAACGAAGCGACGTGGAATGGAAGAAGAACCAAAGTATAATGCAAAAAATAACTGTGAATCCCAATGCCAAGTATTGCCAGTATGAAATAGTGGAAAGGGGTAAAAAATTGGAATTTGTTTAACCGAGTTATAAAAATTGCTTGGAAAATAAATAAAATTGCTGAGAGATAAGAAAATTGTAAAAAAATAATTATTATGCTAGTTGAATTAAATAGTTTAGGGTTTGAGAATTTCATGAAATAACATATAAATTTTTTGAAATGAAAATGGGCATTTAGAGGAAAGTATTAAGTTTAAGTACTAAGTTTTTTTCTTCATTAGTATTGTCCCTATGTATAGATATTTAAAAAACGCGATGTTAATAAACGATCTGTTGCGTCATCTTGGAAAACTAAAGAATTTTCTAGTAACCTAATTAAATACTTCTTCGAAAATATTTTACAATTTATTTCCATAAATTTTTTAAATTTGATTAAAACGCATATTTTATAAAAATATACGGTCTGATTTCGATTCCGCAATATAAATTCAGGAAGTTTCATACGAAAGTGGATTGTTGTGCTCACATTATCACAATTTTTATTATATCTTTCTGTCTTCGAAATTTTCCATTTAGTTTGAACGATATTTGAATTGTTGGGGTATTCTGACAAAGGCATTAAAAATATGAAGGCTTCAATAAGTAGCTAATTCAAAGATGCTTAAAACATGCACTACAAATATCGAAAGCTTCTCAGAAAAACATTCAGTTACCAAAAACCAACACATTGAAATGCTTTTATCGCTTAATTTTTAATTGCCTCATAACAGCGTTTACGGTTTCAATTCTCTCAAAATTTTGTGGATGTGAAACTTGGTGCAAAATTTATGTGACTTCATTTCGAATACACAGAGCAATTTAAATACGAATAATGTTCTTTTAATATTATTCGTAGCGTAAGAAGCAACACTGCTTTGACAATATTCCAGTATTCCACACAGTTTTCTCGCTCTTAAATTTAGTGAATGTGGAAGAAAGGCAAAATGAAACAAAGTCGTCGGTTTTGAACTTAGCTGACTGCTCCTTAGATGTCGCTCGTGAGAGCATGAATATGATGCTGTTGGGTGGTGAGCTTTGATTAATGGTTGTAGAAGGAACGTATACGATAATACGTGCGCGCATTTTCTACCACGTTTATGGTGAACTGGGCTATTTATTCACACTAACGGGAAACTAGTATAATACGTAATACGTGAGGTAGCGAGAAGAAATGGTCGTATTCTCATAATCCTGCCGCCTACAAATTGTGTATTTTAATACGTATTGATTTTGCATGTATCTATTTTTTCTTTATTTTTATTGTGGGAGCACAATTTTTTTGTACAAAACTTTAAAATAAAATTTTTGCTAAAATTTGCCAAAGCAAAGTATGTTAAGAGCACACTTAGCCAACTTTAAGGTAGTACTCAGGTAACTAGATAACTTGGATTCATTCATTTCATTCGTTTGTGTTTGCAGCTTGCGGGTGCTACAACTTCGTCAATATTTCAAAGTTCGTTCTAAAATTTTTACTTTGTGTTCTTAATACATATTAAAAAAAGGTCAATTTTTCAAACCATGGAACTTGGTTACTTACTTTACCTTTTTAGATTTGATTAATAATTTATTTTCATACAATTAATATACAACAATAAGTAAAGTAAATTTTTTAGACACATTTGGGTTAATTTGCATTCGAGTTTCCGAGTAGGATCATCTTGTTTTCATAATCATGATTAGTCCGCTATCATCCATTTATTCCACGTTCTATCTCTTCATTTAGGTTGAGTTGAAGTGGTTGCGCCGCATCAGCTCAATTAGCTCAACAAGGATCTAATGTAGTATGCAAAACTGAGCCATTGATATTTCATCCGCTTTTGTTGTTGTTATAAATTTTACAGAGGCATGCACGGATGTGATTAGTGTCGTGCGAGGATTCATTGTAAGCATCTGTACACCCGATATTTCTCTCAAGTGTTTAAATGTTTCTGCCCTCAATGACTCCTCTTAACAACTTCTACGGAAGTTTGTTTGAGATATCGTTCCTTTTGAGACTTTTCAAACTAAGGCTAACATCTCTTCTTCATCTACTCTCTAAGAGGGAGCTTATCAGTGGAAACTACTCCAAACTACTACGCGATGGCGAAAGTGGAAGAAAAGTGCTCATCCAATATCAAATGTACTGAGGCTCTCAGGGTGGGAGCAATTTTATTTTCGTCATGTAGGCAACCCAACAGTAAACGTGACAACACCTTTCTTGAATATTGTCAATCCAGTCTGCTTCCACGAGCGAAATACGCCGCGTCATTCGTTATCTCGTCACCCCCGCTTGAAGTTTATACTGAGGTGAAAACTGTAATGGTTATGAATCGTACGAAAGTGTACAAGTGGTACCGTGAGTTTAAAAATAGCCCTACATCTGTACATGTTGAGCAGAGGAGCGAAAAACCTTCAATTGTGTGTCCATATGTCTAGCGAACTGGCAATGTCATGTATAATCCTCGGCTCCATTTCATTATACTTCGCCCTTTAAAAATGAGTCCAGTCTGTGTTTACCAGCAACATTATATCCCATTGAATCACCATCTTGAAATCTATCATGAAATCTGTGCAGTAGGCCGTACTATCTGGTAGACAGAATCTTCTTAAGATATTAGTTTAACCCTGCGGCCGCAAGGAGAGCAGCAAAACTTACTCTCTCACAAATTTTTTTGTACCAGCTCAAGTTGGTCATTCTTTTTTCGTCCAACGATGCCCCCTTTAAAACCCGATGTGATGGGCAAATATTAGGGAAAACCGTTGCAGACCACTGTTATTAGGCAATAATTCATTACTCTTTCTTAATTACACAAACCAAATATATGAATTGTTGTAAAGTAATTTTGACATTTGCAGACAGCTGAAGATGTCTGTTATGTTACAAGAAATGTCCCCCGAAAAACGAGACTTATCCAAATATCTGTATATATCGTCTGAAAAAGTGCCAATGTTACCTTGAGTAGTTTGAGTGTTGAATTCGATGTTTATCATGTGCTTAGGATTATCCTGTCAACGTTTTTGAATGCTTTTTTAAAAGTTTTGACGAAATTAAAGAAGAACTTTGAATCGACGCTCGAATTTTTGGCGAGGTGTCGTGAAAAATATTGTTGGTTGAAAGGTAAGGGACTCGGTTATTTTAGTTTTTTCCAACCTTGTGTGTGGAGTTTGGCTGATGTCCAGACACTCAAAAAGGTAGCATTTTGTTTTCTTCTGTTCAGGGCGCTGCACTCGACTGATTTCATTTCATCTAGCTCATGGAGATAAGTTAGCTTTTCTTAACGCAAGTCACAGTTTGGTCTCCATAAGCCGCGCTGCTTCATAATAACTTAGTCTGCTCCGTAGAATTTCACTGAGGTAATCAATAGTGACATCCTCGCTGGCCGCACAAGCTCATCATCAAGCTTTTCAATGCCTTCAACATTCGTGTGACCTGGAGTCCAAGTGATATTCATTATATTTTTCCTGGGAGGCGATTTACATACTCTCCAGATGTTCTCACGCATTTGGACTTTGTGCTGACGCACTTAATTACTGCTTGAATATCAAATTTCCCCATTAAAGCGGCTGCTCCGTTTGAACCTCGGTAATGTCTACCATCTCTGCTTGGATGGCATGACTGTTGTCAATGAATTTGAAGCTTTCCTAGTTATTGGAGAAATCAGAGAAGAGCACTGCACTTATGCCTTTTCGCATTTAGAGTCATCCGTATATATGTATATGAATATCTTCACTGTCACCGTGGCTTTCAGTCTTAATAATAGCACTGTTTCAACAGAACTTCACTTTTATCATCGTTTATTGCTGAATCCTTCCTTTTCAACACTGAAAAAAATGGATTTGAATGAGTACTTTTTTGAAATCCGTTATTTTTGTAGATCCCTTTGAAAAAAAGACAGTTTTTATTGCCTTAAATTAAAATATTTATTTTGTATTCAAAAAATATATATCTTTTATTGCATCCTTTTCCAACGCCTTGAAGTATGCTATATTTATGTATATTAAATCTTGTATATTTGCCTAAACAAGCAGCCCCACACGCCTCACGCACCAACCACCGGCAAGTCCTTCGCCTGGCACTATAACTCAACTCTAAGCACGTCCTGTTACCTCAGCGATTGCGATTCAAATGCGCGCTACCGGCGACTGACAGCCGCAATGGAGTCGCTGTTGGAAAGTCCGCCCACTTCAGACTGTTTCATATACTGCTTTTGACATATACACTCAAATACACATACACACTCAAATACTCGGCCATACTGCAGACAACTGCGCAGAGCCGAACTTATGTTTATATGAATATGTGCGCTTATATACAAGAATTTACCACAGCTCCAGTGCCTGGCGTCCATTGGCACTCCGAGGCATGCGCTCAGCCAACATGGCAAACTCCATTCGTCTGTGCTGCCATTCTCTTCCCCTTCACATGCTCATTTTTATGGCTGCACTGCTCACTGCGGTTGGCTGGCTGATTGTTGGCGCAGAGAGTGTGTGCACACCCTGTATGCCGAAGGAAAGAAAGCTTTTTACGCGCCTTCTGCAGCCTTCGATTCACAAACGTAGTAAAATCTCGCCGCACAATGCCGGATGCATTGAAATGTGAACGCGAGCGAAAGAATGAAAAAGTAAATCTTTTCATTATGCAGTTGCTCGCTGTGATTGTGTGCATGTGTGGGTGTTAACGTGTGCGTTTTTTTTTCTCATGTGCAGCATGGTGAACTTCCAAGACTCTAATTTCCCGTTTAGTCGTTTATTTCGAAGGCTTTGTTTTCTTCATTTGGATTTTTTTTTTTGTTTTTTGTTTTTGGTGCAGTGCAGTTTTGCTGCTCTTACATACCTACGTGTGTATAT